ATTTGCTCTATTAGAAGCGCAATTCCAATATAACCACATATAAACCAAAAATCACATTTGCTGTATAATAAATCATTAAAATATTACTTGTTTCATTAAAATCATTAAAATATTTCTATGTATCAGATGGTGACTTCTGCTCTATTAGAAGCGCAGTTCTAATAGAACCACTTATAAACCAAAAATCACATTCGCTGTATAAGGAATCGTTTAAATATTACTTGTTTTGACCATAGAAACACGTCTGTATTGTATGTATGCACATGTGCTACTAATAGAGCAAATATGGTACTGGAATAGTGAAACTATGTAACACATGGTGATTTCTGTCACTGGAGGTTATGTTGTATTAAAGGTTTATCAATACATTTTTGTCAAAGTTTTGGGAATTTTATGCTGATTACTTATAAAAAGATTCAGGTCATTGCTACACATGGTATAATATGAATTAAAAAATTGGTGTTTCCATGAACCAAATTTTCAATAACACACAGAATCAGTATGCACAACAAAAGACAATTTTTAATTTATCCAAGTCCAGCTTATTTGAATTTTGATAAACTCAAATAAACATGTTTTTGTTGCAACAGTACTATAATTTTTCTGGACAAATATTATCCTAAATGTACGAGTTGGGGATTTGTAAAAGAGTAATCACTTTCACTTAAAGACCACCTCTCTATAATGATAATTTTAATAAAATCTCTTGGGTGGTCACTATACCTACACATTTACCTAAATTTGCCTGTACATACATGTACAGTGAAATACTTTATTTTAGCTGGAATTAATTTTCGCTGAAAAGACTTTTTGGGTGTTTTGTACGGTGTTTAATTTCACTGATTTTGGATGAGTTGAATGTGAAACATAGGAAAAAAGGTATATTTGCTGGATTTTGTTTTCACTGAATCATCCCTTCAGTGAAAAATGCAAAATTCAATTACAAGTGAAAATTAAGTATTTTACAGTATTAAACATTCAACAAATTTTAACGTTTATTGTTAATATCATATGAAGTTAATATATAAACATAAAAATGTCAACATTCATTTTTACTTCAACATTAAAATGTTAAAAAACGCACCAAAAAATGACAAATAATTGCTCAACTGTGCAAAAAGTGAAAATAAAAGTATTGATCAATATTGAGTATATACTTGTGTTTTATCATCAATTTATTTGTCTGCTATGAGTGCCATAATTTTTTCTGTCAAATATCCTGTCAACATTTTCCTGGTTTTGTGTATTTTTTTCGTTTATTTTTTTATTTCTTGGGTCAGATAGAAAATTATGATCGAAATTTTGGAAAAAAAATGGGGGTAATTAGTGTAAAGTGACAAAAGTGGACTTTTGGGCTCAAAGGTTTAAACCCTGATCTCAAAACTGAATGTTATGCTGAACTGAACTGTTATGCAAATTTATGGAGATTGCTAATTTGCATACAAATAGTTTTTTTTCCCAGGATAGCACATCGATCAAATATATATGTTTACGCTAATCATAATGTAACTAAATATAGATACAGTGTATCAAATAAATGCGATAGGAAAATAAACTTGTTTAAAAGGTCTATTTTCTATCTTCTCCTAGTGTCATAAATCTAATTATTAAAATTAAAATTAGTAATGAAGTTGTAAACACTGCCATTCCTTGAGTCTTGAGGATTGATAGCATTCTCTATAATTCGTAAAAATTTTGGTTTTGAAAAAAAAAATAATGGTTCCACATGAGTATTTGGAATACTAGTATACTATATGCCAACATAAATGCATGCTTGTTGCATTCTGGCATAGAATCCTTCAAAGTACATGCTTAACTGAGTTAATTATAGGGCTGATTAAAAACACACCACCTTGAGTGTGGGAGAATCAGTTTTTTACACATCGTGTTTTATTGACTTTTGCGAATTATGATCATTGTAAAACCCCAGCTTCGAAAGTATGTTTAGAGTTGCAACAACAATAAAATACACTGGCAGGCGAGAATATGTTAGTATAAAAATACAGTAAAACTAATGACATTGACTAATGTGTGGTGGAGGACAATGTGAACCTGTACTGCCTTAGTGTATACATTCCAGTATTCTCACCATTGAACTTATTATTATACATCTGTCACCGTAACGCCATGAGTTACAGCGTGCCATAATTTCGTGATATTTTACAGGGTATTTTCATTCTACCATAAAAGAAAATGTGTGTAAGCGTCCTCTAATAATAAAAACAAACATGGCTGCCACCAGGGTTTGACCAGACTCCACATAAAGAAGTTCGCTGATTCTGCTCTAAACGTTTTTGCATTTGGCATTCCCATGATGTATCGTAAGAAGGAAAAGATATATAATAATAAGGTTATCACGAGAATACCTCAAAGTATGCACTCAGACAGTACACCGTTGCATTGACCTCCACTGCGCGTCAGTTGATACTCTCGCTGTACTGTCTTCGTGCATACTTTGACATATCCTCGTAATAACCTCATATTATTATACATCTTTTTCCAGCTTGTAATAATAATTTGATGTGAGATAACAGCACAAAATGGCAATGAGAAACACTGCGCTGTGTGAACATTTCAATTTCTATCACATACTATAATGCTTTTGCATCCGATGAAAATAAAAGAAAGTGTTTGCATGTGTTGTAAATGTCATGCATATTTTCTAAATACCGGGTACATAACACTTTTGAACACGTCTGTATGGCATTTTATGGTCAGATGAATTCTATTGTTCTAAGTGTTTGATGTATAATAATAGAAATTATTGGTGCGTAAAAAATACCCTGAAAGAGGAACCTTCCAAGCCCAAGGATTGCACCAAAGAATCATGGGACACTATTGTTAATCTATCTTTTTTATCCATTGTAATTTCAATCCAGAAAGTAAATTTGTTGTGAGATTAGGCTTAATTGGAAGTGCCCCTTTAAATTTTTTAGGATGTAACTATGTGTTGCTATTTCCATTAGATCCCGTTTTTGATTTGTCTTAACTGAAAATTCTACTTATGTAGTTACATGTACAGTGTTTTCCTCAGAAACATAGCATACAGTATTGGTCAATTTACATAACATTAGAATATTTTTAAATAATCACCTGTATTCACTGTTATGCTCAATTGGTTCTATTGTTTATCCAAAATTAAACAGTTGGGAGCCCCTACTCTATAATGCCCTGGGAAGAACCCTGATGTACAATTTACTGTCAGACATCATACTTTGCATATCATGTAATCTATTCTAGTGATAGCTATTTATCTTTTCCTGGAATTGGTAGTATTCTTTCTTTATAATTTCCTGGAAAACATATCTCATAACATTTCTACTTACCTGCTCGTGCACTGAAGCCAAATGTTGTAAAAAAATGTGAATATTAATTAGCTAATTTGCATAAAACATTTGTGTACCTCTTGTATTTCATATCAAATAGCTCCTCATATCTGCTGTACCCACTTCTTTTGTTTTTATAAATAGCCTTGCACACCACCACCCCACAGCTCCTCCATATTGTAAGTGTGTAAGTGTGCCACAGTTTTCCGTGCAGTGTTCGTTCAAATTCCATATGGCTCCATATCAAAAATGCTGTGGTGCGACTTAAAGTGCCATTTAATTTCCTTAATTCAATATGCAGAAAATGCATTTTTAGAATTCCAGTTTCAAAGGAAAGTGAATAAAAGACAAAGTGCATTCCTGTAGACAATAGGAATTATTTCTTGCCCATAGCACCTCACAAAGGCCTTTATGAAATGGTTGTATTACTGTAAGTCAAGTGTTGCACTTTATGTATACATGTATTTGATAACTTATCCGGTTAATTTTCCAATAGGTCAACTAAAGTAAATTTATACCTACTATGCAATCATAAACAAACTCACAGTTCAAGATAAAACAAAGTATTCTATTCAGTTAAATTTACCTTCAGAATTCACCACTTCTTTTGTTATAGTTCAGTTCCAAATTTTGGCAGGTAAATACAGTGAAAATTGCATTTTTCATTTACCAAAAAGTCAATTTCCATATTGTCCTTAAATATACAACATTTAAACAATCTATAACTGTATGGTACCACTATGTGACTGTTATATGAGATATTTGGTGGTTTAAGTATGTGTGAATTGTAGAAATGTTAATTAAATATCAACGTTCACATTTTAAGGCGTTTCAGTTTGTTCTGACGCTGGCGTTTGTTTTGGTTTGCGGTATGATTGTGCGTTCAAAAGTGTTTCAATATGTTTGAATTCATGAAGATTCACTTCTGTTCCAATTTACTGTTAGCAGCAGAATTTGAATTTGAATCAAAGCAGAATGCATGAGAATTCAAATCATCACATTTTACGGATTACCGTTAATCTCATGACCCCAATAAAGCTCCATGAATGGCAGTGTGCAACTTTATTATACTCTGTGGTTATTTACACTGCACTCCAATCATTTACATCAGACACGAGCCCCAACATGTCTAAGGCATTGCAAGATACATACATGTAGTGTTCTACCCTGAAATTAAAAACACTGCGTCGGTAAAAATGTACATACTAATTTGCATAACATTTGCATATTATTTGCATAACCTTTTCAAACAAATGTTTATTTAAAACTACATAATAATAATAAAAATAGGCATCAGAGCACTTTGTTGGTGTATTTTTAGTTTGTCCCATTCCAGTATAATGATTACCTACTCAATTAAACAATGCACAAAACTGTTATTGCTTCATGACTGTTACAACTACATACATGTTTCAAGTTTTCAACAATTTATCAATTTGATTTAAAAAGTCAGCATCAGCATAGTGGGAATAAACTACTGTGACAGTTAGGATAATGACTGTGGCGGTGTTAGACTGGTGTGGTGGTAAAACAAAGCATTGAGGAAGTACTGCCATGCTGTTTGAATCCTGGGCAGAACACTACCTATATGAATCAGTATAGCTGAGTCATACACTGATATTGTGTATAAATAGTCTTATTTACTTACTAGTTACTTTTTTTTTTATATTTCAGAGCAAAGAGCAAAGGTCACAGGTCTGATCCAAGATAAGGATGAAGTTAAGTCAGGTATGTGTAAAATAGGTCATACATAAAGGTCACACATTATGATTCTTCTAGCAATCATGTTCATTTAATACTGTAAACCACTGAATTTTAATAATTTTATGGTATTCATGTCGCAGAATTCATTGACACTATGTGTCTTATTACCCCGGAATACTGTAAAACCATTTATTTTCACTAACAATTAATTAAACTTTTCTTATGTCTTGAGCGTATCTAGGTTCTAACTAAGTTCACAAATTTGCGAGGGAAACAGTGAGTTCTATTGTTATTTGAAATGATCCAGTCAATTTGATTTAGCAAAAAAAGCTACATATCATTTTAGCAAATTTGGCTCAATGCAAAAGTTAACACAATCTTAATTTAGCTAAAGTGCCAACAATCACATTGTAAGATTATACTTTCTTTTAGCTACAATACATCTTTAATCAGTCTAATTACAAATTAGCAAAAGTAGCTAAAATAACATACTAGCTTCTTGCATTTTTTGGAGAAAATAATTGAAAAAAACTATCATTCGTTAGTGAATCTATACTTGATGAAAGTACCAGGATGTGTGACCTTCAGGAGTTTATGGGTAAGGCATGTTGTTGTACTTGGCCATTAATGTCACAAATTGTCTTTTGTTGTTCAAAATTGTGAATATTAATTACTGTAGCTAATTTGCAAAATTTTTCCATTTTTGCAAACATTTTGATAGCGACCTAAAGGCAATGGTAAAGAATAATCCATACATTTTAGTATAGAAAATGTGGAAGAAAAAATATTGTGTTTGAAAGGTTCATGTCCATTTTCTTTATAGCTACTGATACATGTGTAATGGTGAAATGTTTTGAAACTGTCGTTCACATTTATTTGTTGTTTACCCCTGCAGGTAACGGGAAAGATGATGTTGAAAAACCTGCAAAAAAAGCCAGGTTGGACATGGGTAAAAAGACTAACAAAAGGAAAGCTAAGAAAAGCGAGTCGGTGAGAACAACAAGATGCAAAGCTGTTAAAAAGAGACTTAAATTAAAATTAAAAGAACGGACACAGCCACAGAGAATTGCAGTGACTGCTAGGAACAATGAAAAATTGTCAAATAAATCGCAGGGATCGACCAAAAGTGAGGTGGCAACTGTTGATGATGATTCAGTTATCGATAAATATGACTTGATTAAATCTCATAACTCTAGATCTGCCAAGCTGTCAAAAACTAAGGATAGTCCAGTTAAAACAACAGAGCAGAGTCCTCCGGCACCATCACTTGAGAGACATAGGTCCATGAGAGAATGTAGGGTTGGGAATAATTCTGATACTGAAATGCCCATCCTAGAGCCAGTTGATGCTGAAAAGAAAGATGCAGAGAACTCTATGAAGGGTGTAAAAGAGGAGCATGTTGAAGGGGGGAAAACAACTACAGAAAATATGACTGCACATGAAGCATTGTCCAGAAAGTTTGCTTTAGAGGCATTGCTGCAGATAACACACACTGAACTGCATACTTTGTCTGCACAAGAGCAAGAGGAACAGTTGTCACGCCAACGCATTGCTCATCGTCAACAACATTTGTTGCAACAACGACAACTGATGATTCAACAACACCAACACCAACAGCAGCAGCAGCAGCAGCAACAACAACAACAACAACATCAGCAAAACATGCAGCAAGAGGAACACGTTTGTGGCAACGTGGAGGAAAATGCTGAATCAGAAAATTCAGCTGCTACAGGTAGATCATTTGTGAAAGTCTCTGATAGTGATAAAGGTATTGTGAAATACCAACTGAAATCAGAAACTCTGGAGGAGCAAGGGTTAAAACTTGTGTATACTGCACAAACAGGTGATCAAATCGAACACAATCCAATAAGCTATGGAGCTTATCGACCAAGAAAATCAAGTAAGCCATTGGATCCAATGAGAGAGGTGCTGAAAAAAGACAACAAACCACCTAAAAAACCAGGCAGACACATTTGTCAGTTTTGTGGGAGAGGATGTGCTAAGCCAAGTGTTCTAAAGAAGCATATTCGCTCTCACACAAATGAGAGACCTTATCCTTGTAATATATGTGGGTTTGCCTTCAAGACAAAAAGCAACTTGTACAAACACAAGAAGTCACATGCACATGCAATCAAGGCTGGACTTGCACCAAACTTGGATGAAGCTACTAAAATAATTGATTACCCTGACAACATTGATGATTCAGATGGAAGCAGTGACGACGAAGATGATAGTGGCACTGAAGGTAGTCCGGAAAGTAGTCATTCACATTCACAACTGAGACGATCTGAATGTGAATATGATGACCAAGTGTGTGAGAATCTTATCTCATCAAGTCCGTCTTACAGACACTATGTTCCTGCTCATTGTATTCCAGAACGTGCAGTTCCTGTCTATCTCATGCCTGTAGCCATGCAACAGGATGGAAAATTTATATATGATACAAGTATTCCAAGTATAATGGGAAAGGAAAGGAATGATGATGTTAGGACAGGTATGATGCAAAGATGTTATCCTTCGCAAGCTGTTGTTCCTAATGTGAAATATTCTGATGTTGTGATGACCAAACAGAATGAAGGTTCAACTGAAGTTCAAAAAGAGAACCCTGAAACCACACAAGAAACAAAAGAATGTGATGATGTTTCTGAGAATCATGAATCTGAACAGCCTTTATCATCCTCTGATAGGGGTTCTTTTCATCATGAGAACGTTGCTGGATTTCAAATTGATATGCAAACTGGTAAAGCAGTGCCTGTGACCCATAATCTTACTCCCCAGCCTACCTTACCTACAGCTGGAAAACTCAGTACATCAGAGGTTTCCAGTCCAGGATCAGGTGTTGCCACACCCACAACCCCAAAAAGTATTGATAGACAAAGCCTTCATGAGCGGATTAAGCGGTTAATCTCACAGAATGAAGCAATTGTGGATAATCCAATGTTAGAAAGTGTCAAACCTCGTAGAATGTCTGGTCCAAGAAGAGAAAGCACTGACAACATAATTATAACCACTGAACGTGGAGACGGAACTGTTTCAGTGACAACAAAAGGGAAGAGCAGAACTGGTGAAAATGCTGTGAAAGATGGGAGAAGTTTCAGTTCAGAGTCTCCTTTGTCGTCAATTAAGGAAGGCAAACCAAAGAAGGAAAGGAAGAAAAGAGAGAGAAAGCCTAAAGTTGCTGAGCCTGTTTTGCCAGTAACTCCTCTCTTTGACAGCAAACTTGCTGAAGAGATGCAAAGACATATGTCAGAGGCATTAATGCCTGGAAAGAAAGATGTCATCAGGAGCATATTAATGCAAGGAAGGGAAGAGCCCTCACCACAGGCTTTTGTTCCGCCTATTGCTGCTGTTCCAGAGTCAAACACAATACATGAACAAATGCAACTGCATCATAATTTACAACCAACAAGTACGATTCAAGTGATGGATCAAGAACATCAAAGTAACACTCTGATTATTTCTCCACAAGAACATTATTCTACAATTTCCCAGGAAGGTGAATTTCACCAATCTAACTTGCCTTCTCCTGGAAGAGAAACTAAAAAGATTAAAAAACAAAGGCGGTCACGTAAGGAGAAAAAACATGCAGTGGACATTTCACCAGTCAGTGAAATAGCAAAAAATGCATCTGATCATTTTCAAGAAGCACATCTTGAATTGTTGGTCAAGGTTAAAAATAGAGCAGGACAGAATATTGCGGCAAAATCTTCAGCTCAGGAAATCTCAGTGATTCAGCATACTAATACCGCTCTTACAAAGAACTCTGATTATTCCATATCAACTGAAAATCCCTTACATATTGATCCAGAATCTTCAGCGACTATTAAACCATCCTCCACAAGTAGTGCCTACTTGCAGCCTGTTGATAGTACAGTGCAGGAAAGTTCACCATCAGCTTTGCCAATATTGAAATTATATGAAATGGCAGGAACTAAGATAGAAAAGGCTAATCATGTCAAATGCACGAAACATTCTGAAAGTTTACTGGTTCCTGAACACAAAGCCTCTGTATCTGAAAATAATACAGAGGTTGCATCAAAGGAGTGTTCATTGGAGATTCACTCCAAGCAGAAATTGTCAGACGAGTTCAATAAACATAAAATATGTTCTGAGGCTGAACCTTTAATTACAGACTACTCCAGATTACAACCTTTAAATATCTCAAAACCTTCTCTATCGTCTGAAACCATTACAGTAACAAGCCTATCTTGGTCAGGCATCACAAATTATTCAACTGCACAGATGCAAGTGCAGTCACCTAAAATTACTGACTATTCACAAATTCCTCCACTTCCTGAAGATTTTGTTTATAAACTTTCATATAAGCCACCTATGGTCAGTTGTTCTTCACCTTTGACATCAAGAGGATTGAAACGCAGCATATCACTAGAGTCAACATTGGCGCCAACACAGAAAATAAGGTCCAAATTGGAAATTCCAGTTTCTTCTGCACTTGCTAAAGAGTTGTCAGCATCGTCACATCTTGCATTGTCATCGGTAGTGTCATCCCCTTCAATTCCAATCCCATTAGTTGTTTCACCTCGACAATTGTCAAGCAGTCAGGGCATAGCAGCTTCAACGATATCACCTACAAATGTTATTTCAGGACAAATACTTAGCATATCCCCTGTAAAACCTGCTTCACCATTAGGAGGGCCTGTGCCACCTAAACTACTAGTTCTCAGACCTAGCGAACCTATTTCAGTAACTGCACAGAAAGTTGTTATGCCTGGAACGCCAGTTGGAGCGATTGTACTTGCTCATGTTCCATATACTAATTCTCCTGCTACATTGGAAGCCATGTCACATGTAACATTCTGCTGTTTACAGAGGCCACAGCCAATGTATGTTGTACAAGGAGCTAACCATGCCATCTCAATGTACTCAAATTGGAGAGTCAGTCATCAAAACACTAATCCTTTAGGGATGCCAACGAAGGTCCTTTTGTCACTGTATAACACATCAAAACGAAGACGGAATGGACCTTTCTATGTCAGTGCAGCAATCACACCAAAGGGTGTTGGGAATTTGACTCATTCAAGCCTTTGGAACTATGATTATAATGTCAAGAGCCTGGAACAAACTGTCAAAACAGAAGTTAAAACTACCAGCACTACTCCAACGTCAGACATTGACAATTCTGAAAACAAAGAGGAACCTCATACTAAGGACCATTATACCAAAGAATCCTTGATGCAAGAACTCATTGAACAAAAAATTAAGGAAAGGAAAATGAAGGAGTTGATTGAAAAAACAGAGCCTAGTCGAATACCCATTTTCAGAGGTGGCTACAAATCAAATGAGGAATACATCTATGTCAGAGGCAGAGGGCGTGGGAAATATGTTTGCGAAGAGTGTGGGATCAGATGCAAGAAACCTAGCATGTTAAAGAAACACATTCGGACCCATACTGATCTGAGACCTTATCACTGTAACTTCTGTAACTTTTCCTTCAAGACGAAGGGCAACCTAACTAAACATATGAAGTCCAAAGCTCACAACAAAAAGTGCCTTGAAAATGGTGTAACTGTCACAGAAGTGGACGGAGAAGCAGTGTATGATGACCGTGTCATTTCCAGACTAAGTCTGTCTGATGATAAAATTGAGGACCATCAGTTCTCGGATGATGATGATGAAGGTACTGATTCTGCAGAATCTGATTCGGATGGTGAACACGATGACAACTATTCAGAACAACCAATGGAAATTGACTCCTCTTCATCTGATTCATTATCGGCTAAACTCAAAATTGATCATGAACCAACCCATGTTGCTATGGCTAAGCCAGATGGATCTGATCCTGATATCAAGGAACTAACAATTAATCCATCATGTGAATATACTGCACCATGTTCTCAGATTACGCCAACTTTGGAGCAGTCTATAGCCACAACTAAAATTGTAGCTGGGCATAACTTTGGACAAGTGCAGATGCAGATGCCATTAATGGCACTAAGCACAGATGCTGTTCATGATATTGGAGAAATAAAAATACCAGGAGCAATTGATAATACCAAAAAAGACAGTGGCAGACTATGTGACTTGATTGTTGCATTAAAAACTAGGACTAAAACTCCTGAAAAACAACCTGGGGACAAAGAAGCACTGCCAGAAGCCGACAAGGAGCCAGTGAAAGAACGAAAACTTACAAAGTCTGAAGTTGTTGGGAAGCTTTCTCAGCATCTCAGCAACAAATATCAACAAAATTTACAAAAACAAATGGCTGATAGACAGATGATTCAACAACTACTTCAGCAAAAACAGCAACAGGATCCTTCTCTGAGTGATACAAGGTGGCTAACAAACTTTACAAGCTCTGGCTACTCATCTACAGCAGTGGTGCTGACGCCACAAAAAGGTTCAAATGCATCAGCAAATCCTCTTCCAATTCTAGATAAATATGGGCACATTACCCCTCCTTTACCTTATCTATCTAATATGTATGCTTACAGAGTTTCCACAAGAGTTAATGACTCAACATTTGGTCAATCACAGATTGAATCAGAACTTATACAACCAACACCAGTTACCGTGTTGCCAGAAGCAATGTCTACGATTACATTGCCTTCTGTAGTTACTTCAACCGTATTTCCTTCAACTGAAGAAAATAATCCTGACATTAAAAACAGCGTAAGCTCAAGTGCGGTAAAATCTCAACTCTCGATGCCCATGGCATCTCTCAGTAATTTTGCACTTTTCCCAACCAGCAGTGGATTGTCATCACAGTCAGCATCAGATCACTCAAAGATGTTGTACACTTCAGCATCTGGGACACAAACAACTTTGGTATCAAGTGCAACTGTGGCTATAGGCACCAGTAATCTTAAGCTGAAGATACCATCTCCTGCTGCTAATGTGGATGGGGGGATTATGAAAACAGGAGGCTCGACAATTACATCCCTTTTGAACTTGCCTGTTGCTCCAGTTCTCTCGTCAGTTCCACAGTTACCACACAGCATGAAATTGAAATCTCCTTTGCAAACTATCTCATCAGTTTGTGTTAATCCAGTCAGTTCAGTTACACAGACACCCAGTTCTGTGTCCGGGTTTCTTCCCAGCATGTCAAAAGTAATTGTACAACCTGTCAACACTAGCTCAGATGCTACTCAATCACTTGGCATTGGATCAACCACTGTAGCACATTCCAGCTTCTCACCATCATCTTTCAGTTTCTCAGAAGCATCAAAGCCGGTAAATTATCCCCACACACTGTTTAACTTAACACAAACCAGCACAACAGCAACACCTCAATTCAGCATCCCACAGCCTGTGTTCAGCTTCTCTAGATCGGCAACCAACATTTCACAACCAACATTTAGAATAACTGGAGTCAACACATCAAGCAGTACTCTACAGTCCTTACTCAGTGTTGCTGGGATGAATGCACCAGTGCCTCAAAGCAGTTTCGCACAATCTATGCTGAGTTTTACTGGTATATCCACACAAGCAAACATTCCCCCATCTCTATTAACCTTGAGTGGGAATGGAACTAATTTCAAACCCAACAATGTATCAACACATAATCCACCGGTTATGACACCAACTGGATTTTCCATTCCCAGTTCCTCCCCAAGGCTGTTTCCTCATGGTGAAGTTCCATTGGCACCAGCATCACCAGTTATCTCATCACCTCGGCCCAGATCTCGTAGGAAAAGTTCTACAAAAGAAGAACAAAGGAAAAGTGCATCTCCAGAAATTGTGGGTGGATCACTTTATCACATGATCCCTGAACGTGGGAGAGTGACTGTTAAGATGGAGCATGCAGACATAGATGCTCGTATTCACCATGAAACTATCGCTCAATTAAGAATTCCAAATATGTCACCACATTTGGAAAGCACTCTGGGAGCCAATGAGCTGTCACCAGCAAGTTCTGTTAATATGCCACCTGTTAATCCAACTTCACAAGCATCAGTGAGGTCAAAGGTCCCACCTCCACAGTGTGAGCCAATATCAGACGATGAAGTATTTGATGAAAACAATGATGGATATACTCCAAAAGAAAACAAATTGCAGGAAATTAATTACACCTCCAAAGTTAGAACATCACCAAATCAAACCAAGTCTTTGCCGGCAACTACCCAAGTAGCTTCTGCCATGCCTGTGAAAAAATTGTTTACCACTGGATCTATGTCTGTTATCCCACCTCATGTACCTCTAACAACGGATCCAAGAATGGTACAACCACTGCATTTTTCCAGTTTACCTCACTCATGTTCTATTAAACAGTTACTGTTGTCACGACCTCCACCTCGTCAACTGAGCCCGGAGGAAGCATTACCAGGACGCTTCCCAAGTACAAGTCATCAGGCAGAGGCTATGTCTGCTGGACAATCAGTGCATGGATTTGGATACCCTAGAATGTTTGGATCTGATAAAGGGGGAAATTTCTCAACAATGCCACGAACATCATCACCAAAACTGCATGTTGCAGAAACAGACGAATCGTCAAAGGATACTCCTGCAAACAGTGGACTTAAATGCAATGTCTGTTTTCGGGACTTCTTGAAGCCAAGTCAGCTTCGGATTCATATGAGAATACATGCTGATGACCGACCTTTCACTTGTCGGGAATGCTGCATTTCATTTCGTACAAAAGGTCATTTACAGAAACATGAACGATCGCAGTCTCACTTGTCAAAAGTGGAAGCTGTGGAATTGCCTTCATCGGATTGTCAGGACCCAAGACCCTTCAAATGCAAAGAATGTACAATTGCTTTCAGAATCCCAGGACACTTGGCTAAACATCTACGATCCAAGTTACATTTGAATGCTTTAGATAGACAAGGAAAGGGTAATACAAAACTAGACGAGGATGATGACGATAAAAGTCACTGTTCAGATTCAGATTTATTGGTGTTGAGTCCGGGAGAATATTCGGACAAATCGATTATTAGTCCCGAAATTGAGTTTGTAGAAAGTAGGACAGAAATAGCACGTTCCAGCATCAGTAGTGAAAAAACAGAGACTGATGAAGTGAAATGTGAGACAGATAAGGAGAGCCAGGCAAGTCATGAGAAATTAGTTAATGAAAGTGTGCCTTCTGCTGTGCCTAGTCCTACTGCAGTGCAGCACCAAGAAAAACATTCAACAGTCTCTCAGAGACCTGCTAATACCTAAGCTATATAAATAGTGCCTGCCATTGCAGCTGTGTGTTTTAAAACTCTGTGCATTTCTAAATTACCTTATAATTGATTGATTTTGCTTGATGACATTTTCTCTACGAGTTCAATCAGTTGCTTTTGTATACTCAACGTGGTAAAGAAAAGAGAATTTTTCCAGATAGAATTTTTTTTATTTAACACAGAATATGGTTTTAAATATCAGATGTATAGCAATGTCGCTTAATTCCTCTTAGCTGATCTTGCATTCTTAGGTTCATTGTAACTTTTGAATGATACTCCCACCACGCAAAATTTCACAGGAAGCAACTTTGCTATTTTCTCCAAAAAAGGTTAAAGGAAAAGTCAAGTCTAACAACTTAATAATCCCAGACGAAAGAGCTCGGCAAATGTAAGAACATGCAAGTTACAGCTTTTTCATATCACTTTTCATTCTCTAGATATTTAACTTTTCATTAGTTTATGTAGTCCACCATCTTGGTTGTTCAGCAAAGGATTATGGGTAAAGTATGACATCATATCCTCTGTTGTCAGAAATTGAGAAAATGATTTCATACTGATAAAAAGTTGAATATCTAGAGAATGAAAAGTGATATAAAAAAACTTTAAATTGCATTCTCCTACATTTGTGAAGGAAACATTATGTTGTTTGGCTTGACTTCCCCTTTGAATTTCATATTATATTTATATAAAATATTTTAAAATCTATATAAATTTCAAATGACAGTTGAAAACAGCTTGACCAATCATTTGCATGCATGGCTGTAAAGCGACTCTGATAAAGGGCATTGCGTAATGGCTTCTATGACCAATGAAGCATATTTTTTTGGGATTTGAATGAAACTGGGTCTTCCAGGATAAATGTCATATCAATTTTTTATAAATTTCCGTGCAAAAAAAAAAAAATGTATTCATGCAATTCACTGTATTAGAGCTGCATTCTGAAATCAGTCATTGGATTTTTGGAGTGTTAAGTGAAATTTGGTTCGAATTTGTGGTAATTGCTAGAACTATTTTAAAATTCTGTATTGTGCAAAATTTCTATTGGCTTAAATTGTTCAGATCAGATGCAGACATTTGTGAATCTATGTGTGTCCGAACACAAAAGTCCTCGCAAATGGAATGTAATTGACATTTGAGCATTTATAGTATATATTTCTTGCAATTAACACACATTCAAACCATCAGTCTAGCACAATGTCAACAATACAGCTTAAAGAAGGATCACAGACTGCAATGTTAAGACATCAGTAAAATGTTCACTGCTAAACATTCTCGCAATTTTCCACATCATAACATTTTTCAAAATATATCTTGAAAATTACTGTATTGTACAGCTTACTGTATGGTACTCTATTAGTAGTGTATGTGTTTATGTATAACAAAGATGTCGATGGTCAAAATAAGTTGTGGTGAAAGACAAAAAAAAAAAATTAAAACACCTCAGTCGGCATACCACTTTGTTTTCAATATCGTTACATTGCACATGTACAACCATTTTATGCAAATTCCAATGCCTGTGGTGCTTTAATAAAGTTTGAGTTGACTGCTACTAGATTCTTCTGTCTGAAAGAATGCCTTCTATATTTTGCATAGCCATAGTTTTCAGTTGTGATTTTCTAGAAACATCACATATTTTTGCATTTTGAGGTATTCCAGTATCTTTATTTATTTATTTCAGTAAATTTTAAATTTTAACTGTATATCTAAGCAACTGATAAAACTGGTTGGAGTCAGTTTTCATTTATGCAGATTGAACATGTAAATTATAAAATTAATTGACACCTGAAAAATGTGTCGCAATGAACTCAAATAGACATTATATGGAACAGAAGGACTTTGTTTTGACATGTGCTATACAAACCGAAAACAATGTGAACTGGCACTCGCATGGAACTTGAACCTGGACTTGCAAGCAGTACAGATATATTCGCCCAGAAAGAAAAGAAATACTTTGAAATAATCCTGGAAACTAATTACCTTCTGACTATCATGGTGGTCTGTATGTATGTTACTGTTGTCAGCAGTGGACAGATTTTTACAGAGGAACGCAAAGATGACACCTGGAAAATATCTATCATGGTTTGCAGTTGCATTGTGCAAGATGAACACAGTCTTGGTAAGTAGGATCACAGCTATGAATGGTGAGTCCCACACAACACAAATGTGGACCATGGCAACCAATTATAAAAGATTGCTAATGTAGATGTGAATTACAGTATATTTTTCAATTATTCTAGTGTCATTGTCATTCTATTTGATAACTTCGTCATGACCTCTACTGTAAAATATGTTATTTGATGTGCGTAAACCTCAAATATAATACAAAATCCATGTAGCTTGAAAGCTTGCAAAGTCAAGGTTCATTTTACCTATCACCATGTGCTAACTAGAAAAATGTACGTCGTTGTGGGTTGTGTCCGGAAAAGTAAAAGAAGATGAAAATCCATAATCTTACATTCACATCCGCGTTTTTACACTATGAACAATGTGAATATGGTGACCGCTGGATAATGGCACATTGGCGATAACTCTAGGCAATGTTTCTGTGGACCATATATTTTTGTCTTTTGCGAAAGTTTCAATTGAGCAATAATTCTGGGCCATGTAAAAAATCATAAAGTAATATATACATAATAACTTGTTTGAATCAAGCATATATTGAATTCAACCAGTACATTTCAGTATAACAACTTAAACTGTCTGAAAATTTGGTGTTCAGAAAAATCTGAATAAAATCTGATGTATTTTACTTTTTTTTTTAATTTTATATTTTTTGTTACGTACTAGTACACGTACTTGTGATTCGGTATATTTTTAACTTTGCAATTACCATAACTTTAAAAAAACTATCAACAAATTAATAATAGATCCAAATAAAAAAAAAATATAAAAAAAAAAAATAAGAAAAAAAAAATGAAAAAAAAAAGCCAAAACTGGGATCTTATTTTAATCAGATTGAATATAACAGTGACAGTACCGGTAAGTCCATTTATGTCAGCATAACATGTTCGCATCAATTTTCTCAAATACAAAAAAACATATCTGTACAAGATAAAATGTTTTTGCATTGTTCTTGTTTATTGAAATTATTAAACATTTCGGTTTGAAAAATTATGCCAAGTAAGGGACAACGTCAAAAAGTTTCCATCCTACAAAAACGATTTTATTTTTTAATGAATCAAAAAAATCTTGGAGTATCTGTAGTTCGTTTTTTTTCTATTATCCAATCATGGATAGAAATAACCAAAAAGGAAAAAAAACATCCAAGACGAGAAAATGGTCTGGTTCGAGTGTAAATCTGTGCGTCAAATGAGGTGCATTTGTAAAATCTTTTTACACCCACCCAACAACCAACTGCTATGCAATACTACTGTCAGATTATCAATTTGTATTTAATGGTGAATGTAGTCTAACGCCATGACCAATATTTATCAATTAAGTTTCAGTGGGGGGTAGGGGGGTTTGGAAAAAAACTAAAGGAATTAAGTTTTTTATCCGACATCAATCTTTTGACGTCGTCCCTAAGAACTCTGTATAAAAGCTTCATAAAACATGTTTAAAAATAAATTATATAATTGCAGGAATTGCAACTGAGAAGTTCACAAAGCAAGATGGATCAATGATGGTGTGCACTGCTTTATGGATATCAGAGATTCATGAATGAATACAGATGGTCTGATTCATCTAGCAAAATGGACCTCTTACTAGTAGTGTATCATGAATTATGTGATACCAGAGATGGTATGATTCATGCAGCCAGAAGAAACAGCTTTGGATTATGTACTTTCATACCACGGACAAATGAACAAGACATTGAGTATAATCTGCGACTTGAATATCATCAAGAATCCTGTTCTGAAATCAAAACCATGTAGAACACATTTATATTTAAACCGATTCTGTCATAACTAAACTAGGCATGTGAAGTTTTTCCTGGCATTGTGTGTGCTGCTCTGTAATTCAAATACAATGTGTAAGCAAGAAATGCTTGCAACTCTTGGTCGTAGTAAATACTTTACGATTTCTACATTCTACAAGTCATTGGTTACGTTGAACCCTGAGAAATACTCAGGTTTTGTTCAATATTAATATTAAAGCACGGTGATCGTCGTGTTGCGCATGTGCGACATTTGTGTTGATCAACATTGATTTTCCCATAATCCAATGCGCTCTTCAAATGGAAATCACAAGTACGAGGTTTGACCTGGGCACGACTTGCACTGAATACCACCGGTGACACCTTCGATACCTTTCAATCAACTAAAAATTATTAAAGCTTCGAAATGTCTGAGTTTATACTCGTTGATCTGCGCAACAGTCAAAGTCGCCATCTTTGTTTATATAAGACCTATATATCTCGCGCATACATTCTGATTGGCACTTGCTGCATGTCGCAAAATTGTCATAACTGCATAGCAGTTATTACAATACGTTCTCCAGAAATGGACACAGCATTTTGATCATTTATTTTATTTTAATTTATCTCATCTCTAACAGCTTTAAAAGTTTGTAATTAGGAAAAATACAGTAAAATCAAAATTTTCACTGGGTTTAATTTTAGCAAATACTCACTACATTTTTAAAGCCACTGCTTTGTGAAGGAAATATTACATACTACAATTAATAACTGAGTAAAAATCTTGTATTGCTGCTTTATTTTTCAAATTTTTTTCAGAAATTGACACTTATAGCACTGTTCTCGAACATGTCATTAATTACGACTTACTGTAAATTACCGTACTCACAGAATTCATTATACACAAGCAATCTTTCAATGCTCTTTTGCAGCAGTTCGAACCAGTCTTCTGCTTACTGCCAAAGTATTGAAAAAAAATTAAAAGAACATTTTGGGACCATCTTTTTCTTTTGCAGATGCAGCGCCCTCAGTGGTCAACATTGAGTGAAATTCTAACTTCTATTCTAGTGGCTTGTGGCAGTATCATTTATTTCGTTTTTATTTGATTTTTGTGGTATCCACTAAAATATGCTGAAATAGTCTTGACTGTCGTCTATGTAGATTTACATATAAACAGTATGTATTTAACAATGTCATGTGTATGATACTGTAAAACCATTTATTTTCACTATTGTAATATTTTGAGCTTATTCACGGGGCTTTAAGTTCACAAATTTGCCAGTAGAACAATTAGTTCTTTTGCATTTTCACCTCGATTTAAATTAGCGGATTTTATTTGTCAGTGGAAATAGCGAGTGAATAATTAATATATTTACAGTACATTCTTGATTTACTTGTGTCGCAGTTGATCCGGTGTTTGAATGTTTTGTAATTATTGGGGCAATGTATGGAAGGTTGTGTTAAGTTGTGTTGATATGGATTGATAATGCTAAAACATTTCAAAAAA